CCGCCTAAGGAAGACTTCCAGAAGATCCATGCCCGTCACTCCATCCCGAACGAGTTGGACCACGCGCTCCACCAACATTTTTACCTCGTCTTTCTCCTCAGGAAGCACCTTCAGAGAAGACGGTTTGTCCACTCGGTCCATGGAGAACGGAGGGAGACCAGTCGACTGCCCCGGCGTCGACTGGTCTTGGCAGTAGAACCAAGTCGACTGCCACCCTCTGACCGACTCAGGAAGGGTCATGGCCGGGAAAGTGCTCTTATTCCTCAACTGAATCCCAAGACCCCCGCACATCTGTATAACCTTGGTCCTCTCATCACCCGGACTCGCCTTTTTTACCGTCTGCGACCGACAGGTGAATATGTGCTTGAAGAGACCCCAGTGCGGTCGACAACCCAGGAAGTTCTCGCACATGGACACAAAGGCAGCAAGATAGGCGATGGAATTGGGATTGAAATGGTGGAGTTGCGCCCCAAAGAAATTCAGAAACCCACGGAAGAACACACTCGGCGGCAGAGAAAAACCACGATCTACGTGAGTGGCTAAGAGAACGCACTCACCCTCCTGCGGCTGCGGTTGACACTCGGACCCCGGGAGCCTCGCTGACCCGTGGGGGATCAGTCCCTCATCGGCCAGGTCGTCGAGGTCCTTCCCAGTGATGGTCGAGTGGATCCAATCCCCTTGGACCCAACCCTTCGGCAGGCGGGACCTCGACGAAGATCCGCCCCGACTGGACGATCTCCCCTTCGCTTGCCCCGTCGCCGTCGCCTTCTTCGCGCGCTCTAGAGCCGCCGTCTTCTCCTTCACCATTATCGCCGGCGAAGCGCTCGAGAGGTGGATAAGCCGGAGGTAGGAGCAGGCGCCGTGGGCGGAGGCAGAGAGGGAAGAGAGGAGAATGGGGAGGCACTGTTGAAAAACTCTTCCCCGACGCTTTATATAAAGGCGCTTCCGAGTGGCTGACGAGTGGGTCCGAGCAGATCTGTCACATCCCGAAACAGTCGCACATGTACGATACGTGGCGAAAAAGGCGGCGCGGAAATCGAGGCATCCATGCCTTATCCCGCCCGATCGCCGCGGATCGCCCCGCTTCGCGCGCTTCCCAAATTTCAGATCCCGCAAAATCCGCTAACAGCAGATCAATCTGTCAGACGATATCCTTCCCGCGATCCGTCGCTCGGAAGTTCACCGGAGTTCAAAAGTTCACTCGACAAAAGATAAGAATGGATCAAGGCGACTGAAGTAAAAATCGACGCCAACGCCGAAAGAAGAATCGCCGATCCAAGATACGACATAATCAAACTACAGTAAATAAGTCGGAGAAAATCGTCAACCCCTTCCTCACTCGAACCTCGATCCATTCGGGGGCTAATGATGAGGTTATGTACCTAGGGTAGGGTCATGGACATATCTAGGATACCATACCCAAGGACATCAACATACGAAGCTACCTTCCAGTCGACCAAGAGAAGCTCCACTCGACCAAAGGAGACTCCACTCGACCGGCTAGAAGACACTCGACCATGAAGATGCACTCGACTATCAGAAGTTCAGGATCTACTCTGCATCTAAATGGTCTGTAATTAAATAGTCTTAATGGTCATGATGACACTTTATATAGGGCGTTACCAGTAACGCCCAGCCTTAATGTACTTTAACCCTCCTCTACGTGGGCTGGCTGGGGTCCTGGCGTCCTCTATATAAGCCACCCCCTCCACTGGTAGAAGGGTTGGCACCCCTGTAACTCATATACACAGAGATCAGTCGACCGCCTCCGGGCTCCGAGACGTAGGGCTGTTACTTCCTCAGAGAAGGGCCTGAACTCGCTAAACACCCGTGTGTACAACTACTCCATAGCTAGGACCTTGCCTTTCCATACTTACCCCCATTCTACTGTCAGACTTAGAACCACGACAGCCTCTGCTCGCCGTGCAGCAGACGGACGCCGACGTCCGTCTCCCGCGGCAGGCGCCACGAGGACCGAAGGTAGGTGATGTCGTCGGCGGTGACGGTCGAGCCCATCCAGGAGCCCGATGGAAGCGACATCACCGGAAGAAGAAGAGGAAGAAGGACGACGGAGAAGATCTGTGCTCAAGGCCGCGGGCGCAGCTGTGCGTCGGTGGCAAGAGGCAGAGTGAAAGCAGGGGGACAGGAGGGCGCGAGCGAGAATAATGTTTGCCGCCCCCTTGCCCCCCCCCCCCAATTTATAACCCCCGGTTCAAACGTGGGGGAGTGGGATCGTCTGCACGCGCTCGTTCCACTACCCCGCAATAAGTGCGCACGTACACACGCACTAACTGCGCGGGGAATTGCAACCGGCCCCGAGACGCCGCAATAAATCCGCACGTGCGGCCATGGGCGTGCGGCGGCGGGCCCCGGCCCGTCGCCCAGTCGCGTCACGCGCGTGGCTTGTCAGGCCCGTCCGACTTCCAGGCACCACATGGCGCCTGCGCGAAGCCCGAGGGATCGCCTCAAGATTCGACGGACTCCTCGGTTCCCGCCACGGCCGGGATGCCGCGATCCGGTTTCCGAGAAAACCGGCACACAGTGGGTGTTGCCGGACCCGGCGTTCGCAGATTCTGCCTTGATCAAGGGGGAAGCTGCGAAGGCCCACTCATCCGAAGACGACGGACCTTCACAGCTTCGGGGACTACTGTCGGGGGAATGAACCCCAGGCAGGCAACGGAACCCGAATCTATTTCGAAAACAGCGGGGCCCGCATCGCCCCGCAAACCGGCGTGCGCCAGGCCGGGTCGCTCGACCCGGCAAGACGCGCAACCCGGCCAAGACCCTCGACTCGGCAAGATACGTCGACCCAGCCGCAGCGGCTGGCGCAAGGCAGCTCAGCCCGATGCAACCTTGGCTTCCCAAGCAAGCCAACCCACCCGTGGCGTCCACGACAACCCAGCCACGGGTCAGCTCCCGTCCCATCCAGGACGTACGATGGGACGAGACCTCAATCACCGATGACCAAGACTACAGTGCCAGCGCCCATGCCCATGGTCAGCCAGAGCGTGGCAACAGTGCCCCTTACCTACCCGGTGACCAGGGCTGGCGCGACAACAGTGTTCCCGCCCTCACCGCTGACGACAGCAAGCGGCGGCCTGATGGAGAACACTGTGCGCGGCTCGACTCGGCCACGCCATGACGATCGATAAGACAGTGCACAGTTCCCCTAGGCACGTCGGGCCCGCGCCTAGGGGAACCCGGCGAACCACAAGCCCCCAAGCGGGACCCAGCCCGGAACCCCGGACATCGACAATACGGACCCACCGACTCGGCATATTACCATTGTAACCCTGGGTGGGTTGATCTATAAAACTCCCCAGGAGTCCACGCCCACAGAGAAGGAGGCATGATACATATGACATGTAAGATCCCCGGCATGCAAGAGCAAGCAAGATAGGACTAGCCACTACATAGCAACGCCAGGGAGAAGGAGCAGCCCAAGCCTTGGCCAGCCTCCTTCCTCCTCCACACAGCTCCAGGAGCAGCATTGTACTATCGACAATCCAACTAAACTCGACAGGACTAGGGGTGTTATCTATCCGGAGAGCCCCGAACCTGGGTATGTACGGCGTCCCGCGTCCGCGCATATCAACCTCGCCTCCGAAGCCCACCAGCGCCCTCGAGCCTCCTCCTCTCTTTAGCCATCCCTTGGCATCTACCGTGCGCCCACCACGACACCGACCGAGAGCATCGCCCGTGCCACGTGCCGCTCTCCGCGCCTGCTCAATGCTAGAGAGACTTGACTGGACGACTCTCTCCGCATTCAAACCGGTTACCCATCCATCATCATGCCGGCATTGAACAAGCGCGGCTGCCGGGAAACCAACTCTGGTGCCCGCATTTCACACAACGCTCCACTTGACCCGAACGGCGTCCACTTTTTATGCATGGCCAGGCCCGACAAGATCCGCACAACACCAAACTCCACTCCCAATCTACTCCGTACATCACATCTATCATGACCTTGAGCTCCAAAGCGCTACGCGACAGCCTCTCCATCGAACAAAAGCAGGAGCTGGTCGGCATTCCGGCCGTCTGGCAGGCCCGCTGTGCGAGCCGAATAGAGGCTGGCTTGCTGGCGAGCTCGCTGGAGGATAGCAACGCCGACAAGATGTTAGACAAGGCGTATGATGACGCACCAGTGCCACCGCCCTCGCCGGTCCATCCGGCATCACCTTGGAGCAGGCACGGGCGCACTTCGACGCTGTACTGGTGAAAGAGCACTAGGTGCCGCCACTGTCGGTGTCCCGACATGCTTAGTAGGAACAATGCTACAACCTTCGGCTCCTCGGCAAGCACCGACTCACAGAGGAGCATATCATCGGCGAGTAGGCTAACGATGATGACGTGGTGATCATGGTTGTGGAGGATCCGCTTTTTGCATGAGCAACAAACGCTATACCAGTCCATGCGCAACACACACGAGATTTGTCGCGGGCAATGGTGCCTGCGCGTGCTGCGGGCGGAGAGGGACGCCCTGTTCACGAAGATAGACGCGGAGGTGGCCGGAGAGGATGCACAGACGATCGACCGACCATGGGCGGTGCCAACTCTGTGTTGACCACGCCGCCACTGTGGTTCGCGTCCTGCCGACACGACCAGGATGCTGGACCATCCACGTCAGACTCAGGCGAGGAAGAGTAGCACATGTGGTACGTCACTATGGTTTGGGTCCCAGGAAGGCCACTCCTATTCTTCTCCTCCTTCGATTTCACCTCCCAGGGCTCAGGACCGTTGAGCTTGCCGGACATGAGGAAGATATAACATGGGATATGGACTCCTCCGCGACCGGCAATCTTTTAGATTAGGTTTAAAAAGTCTCATCCTCGTTTACGTAGTTGAAATAAGTTGACCATGTAATGAATTTGATTCAAATTAAAGGAAATCATTCCATTTGCATGAAATTCATCCTCTTGTTTAAATTTGCTTCGAATACATGCGTGGACTTTTAGGGGTTTGCGGAGATGCCGTGAAAGTGACAAGCCGCGTGCACAGAAATGTACGTATACTCGGACGATGTGGCCAAGGAAGGAACCTACCGGGAAGCTTCCTGGTTCCTGCTTCCTTTCCCATCTCGTCTCACGGAAGCCAAGCACCACCTCTCCCATCACCTTTCCCATCTCGTCTCACACAAGTCAGGCACCACCACCTCTCGGGCTCCTGCTCACAGCCATCACCTTCCCCATCCCACACGAGCTAAGCGCACACAGCAACTGCCACAGATCCGTGCCCGGCGAGCTAGCCAGGACTCCATCGGCTTCTCCGCCTCACCTCTCCGCAGCGAGCAGTGCAGAGCCGAGGCAGGCAGGCAGGGGATGAAGCGCGTAGTGGGGAGCCCGGGGACATGGAGCGGCATGGCACTGCGGCTGTCGCAGTGCGTCTTTGCCGCCGCGTCCACCTTCGCCATGGCCTCAGGCTTCAGCTACTCCAACTACAGCGCCTACTTGTACTAATTTCATTCCCCCGCAAATGCTACTTTTTCCCTCCCCCCTTTGTGCGTTTTCTTGCAAATTCTCTGAGTTTTACTCTTAGGTTGGGTGAGTTTTACTCTTTCTTTCAAGATAAACTTTTGGGGAATAAGGTAGAGACTAGAGACCCTTATTTAAGAGTACTTAGATGAGGCAGATTTAACGCCTTCCAAGCAGGGTGATGCTTTTTTCTCAGTTGAAAACCTGGTGATTACTTTGTGTGCAATAGATTCTAATGTTCTACTAAATCTCCTCGGCATTGAAAAAGAAAATCAATTAGGAAACTAATTCAGATGCGACTGCAATGTACTTCAGTTAGGCTGATAACTGAAGAAACTGATGGATTAAAGCATTATTGATACCTCAACTATGGCGACAGTCATCAATCATCATTGTGTTCTTCTGTAATCTGGAAAAAAAAAAGGAACAAAAACCTTACTATGTGCTTGGAAGTTGGAACCACTTCATAGTTCATACACAAAAGGCTAGATGGTGTTCTTGTCGAATACTATAAATTTTCCTTCAGCATCAGGACAAAAAAAAATTACAGCCCAATTTTTTGGGGAACACATGGATAACTTCTTAAGCTATATCTGCTAATCAGTCCATCATACATATACAAGTATCTATCTGCATTTGACTTAGCACGTACGGAATACGACAGAGTCGTGAGGCCTCCACCAACTTCCTCATTTGATAAACTCGGAATACCTTCAATGCTCCCAAAGTTAGTAACTAGTATTTGTCTGGTGACCCACCCAACTAGTAGTAAATATATGGCCTCGCAGGAACAAATGAAATGATCCTTCATTAGGTGATTTCCTTATTCAAGTTCTAAGACGGTTCCATTACAGAGTTCATGCATGTCTGCAGGAGTACAAGCTCGACATCGTACATATTTATGTTCATTTGTCCATAATCTTGGGAGTTTACTTGAACTTGAATGCTCTTTTTCATAACAAGAACTGGAGTGTTCTGTTATCCTCTATTAATGTTTTCTGTGAATGATTACAGATATAGTTTTTGTTTAAAATGCTAGTTGCGACATTTCAATCTTCCAGTGGTATTGGGAATCCTGATAGTAAGCAGTGTCCAAATCCTGATTGTCAGCAGTGTCCCTTTGATTCCTAATACCGCTGGAAAAATTAAAATGTTACAGCTCGCGTGTTTTATGTGTCAACATGCATGTCTTGACTGTGTGCTGGTGTGTGCCAATGATTTATATTTTTGACATCAAGTTCATGCCATTGAGACTATGAACTGCATATATAAAGTGTTCAGTTTCTTGACTACTATTCAGAATTGTTTGGGCTCAAGTATGATTTGTCGACATCATCTAACGAGTGTAATCTTGTCTCACTTCGTTTCAGCTACATGAGTCTAGCGTTGATCCTGCAGCTGATGTGGAGTTTGGGCCTTGCTTGTAAGGATATCTTTGCTCTAAGGAATAAAAAGGATCTTCACACCCGAGATAATGTATTGATCATTGTTATGGTTGACTGGGTAAGTCGTTCAGTTTATCTCTTCTTTTGTCCATGAGCTACGTCTGAATTAACTGAAGGCATGCACTGAAGCAATTGAACCCAGATTTTTTATCATTAGTTCTTACGAACAAAAATTCAGGTTAAGTGCAACTCGTGATTTTCTATTGGCCAAGTTCTTGTTCTGCCTCCTTCTCTAAGAATAAGGTAGTCTTAAAGAGATTTGTTTGCACAAGTGCTCCATCGAACTTTAGCAACCAATATGCTTTGCATGACTTTTTGGTCAACCAACGGTATAGTTTATCAAAGGTTTTTTTTCCTGTTATTAGAACTAATGGCTGTCATTTTTCACAGCCAAAGTTTGTACATCTCACAAGCAGAGTCTAGATACCCTGTGAAATCAATTTTTTTACTCGAGCAGTTCTTGGAATCTTGAGCTAACAAAGGTCTATTTGAGTGAAAACATCAATTGTGAATGCATTGCAGGTCGTGGCGGTTTTCATGTTCTCAGGAGCCTGTGCCTCCGCGAGCCTGACAATTTTCTTGATGTGGGATGTGCACTTCTGTGAGACATACTCGAAGCTGGCCTGCCGGCAGTTCGCGCTTTCGGTCGTCCTGGCGTTCATCACATGGTTGCTGCAAGCTGCGTCTTCTTTCTCTGTGTTCTGGCTACTGGTTTCGTTCTACTAGTGATCTCACGCGCTCATATTCGCCGTCACGTTATGCTAGACAGTCAGGAGGGTAAATTGGTTGCAATGTGCTCGGGACACTTGCTAGATTTCAGTTATGGGCAGTCCTTCGTCCCTTGTTAGATAGATTGCCTGTTTGATAGTAGTTCATCTTTATTCTAGGAGTTGGTTATCAGCTTCTTGAGGTGGAGTAGTTACTGTTTAGATGATGTGGGATCATTAATATATGGAGTTCAAGTCACGATCGAAGATACCTGAAAAATGCTCTGGTTATTGTAGAAGGGAATGAGTTCATATCTCTTCGTGTGGCTGGGACCAACCGTTTCTGGTTGCTTCGCACAATGAACAAGCCTTTCTTTTGTTGCCAAGCAATGTAGACATGTAGTTCTCATCATAGTTAGGAAGTCGAATACTAAGGATATCTTCTTCAGCTAGAGGCATGAAAATTTGTTTGACCCTGTCCTCCTTCCAAGTATGGGTGTCATGGTCTATTAAGTCTGCCACCCAGATGTTGTAGGGCTTATGTTAATTTTCAGATTTCTTCTCTGGATTCAATTGTCCCTCCATAAGCAAACAGTGCGGCCGTCACAAATACGCCATACAAACCCTTTCTCGAGCAACTCCAAACCATGCATGATGCCTTGCCATTTCGGAGATGCATTTTGAATAAATGCCGTGTCTAGTAGATCAACCCCAGGATAACATTTAGCCTTCATAATCCTGTCACATAGACTGTCAGGGAACCTATGAGTCGCCAAGCTTGTCTAGCAAGGTGAGCTTGGTTAAAATGTTTGAGGACGTAAGGAGTTTAGTTGGTATTTGTCGGACCTTTCATGCTATTAGTGTTTGATTCATTGTTATATGAAATATACCTCACTCCTTTGGTTTAGTTATTTCATTCATTTCAATATTTCATGCATAGAAAGATTGATCTGCAAGTGGTAGCAAGGCTTTTCCACTGCTCATCTTTCTGTAATTGTTTGCTTAGTCCGTCCCTCAATCTCTGATTTACGCAATTGCTCATTGTGAATATTGAGAGATGCTACACACACGGAAGAGTTTTAACAGACTTCACGGATGAGCACA